TACTGGTTGAGTCATTGCAGATCCGCGGCATATCACATGCGAGTGACCGAATTTTCAACGAGGTGCCGCATAAACGTAATGGGGCTTAAAAGCCTTGTCTGCAAATTACTTCAAATATCAGGTCAGTTTTCATGCTCATGGTCCCTTCCACAACAGCTAGACATAAGATTATCTGGACTGCATCCTTGCGTAATTTCAAAAAAAAATATGACCCTAAAAACTTTTGATGCCCTCAGGCCATCTTTTCAATGAATTCCATGTTCTCTCATCTTGAAACCTCGGCATCTTTCGTTGTTATTGTAATTGTGATTGTTCTTCTGCCTTGAGGTTGTTAAGGTGGAAGATTTATTCTGGCCAACGTTTCGACCGTTCCGTCGTTTTCAAAGGCCTTGTTCCACCGCAAAGTGTAGCGAAATACTACACTCAGTTCAGTAAACATTAGTAGCGAAAAGCTCCAGTTTTTCGTTTTTACTATGAGATGTGAATAAAATGAAATGACTTCGGTAATGAAGACAAAGTGAATTGTTAGTGCGGGTGTGCTTATGTTCCTCTTTCAGTCCTTAGAAAACACAGTGCTGAGGACACAGCGAGTTGAAAGACTTGTAAAGCGACGTTTATAATAATCAAATCCAATGTTCTGTTTCAGATTCGTCGAGGAAAGATGCGAAGAATCGGTCGGAAACTACGGCTGTGAAAGAGATCAAGCCGTTCACATCCGGACGAATGAGGCGAAGTTTCAGTGCAACGGTTTGAATAGCTCCCATTTAATTCTGAACGAATTCTCCCTTTTTCCGAATTTTTTCTCTAATAAGACCTCATGCTGCCCCCAGCTTGATGTAATACTTTGCACGAGCAGTGCTAAGAGGACATATAACAAAGAGTCACTTTGAAGCGTTATTCGAATAACTAAAGGTTGTGAGCGGAATCTTTGACATAAAATAGATCGCCGTCGCATATTCCTTGTTTTCTTTTGACCAAATGCTCACACGCTGCTTGGATGGGGCATGTACCAGCTCTCTTCCTGAGGTCAGGCCACCTCGTATCACGACAACTCTGATTTCCCCGTGACAATCGCAAGCCTGAGCCTAACCTTAGGCTTCGTAGACGTTGACCGTGCGTGGGGCTGCGGGTCGGCAAGGAGTTATTGAGAAATGTTGTGATGCTGAAGTTGTTGGAGTTCTTAGTTGTGTTACCAGTTCTCCTCTTAAGGTGCTGAAAGATTGAAGAAGAAGCTTTATCGCTTTGAGCACCTCATGCTCTTCCTCTCTGAGAGCACCCCTACTTTATAAAGGCCTCTTGAGAACCTGGACAACATATTGAAAATTTCAAATTCCGTATTAGACCATGCCCGAAGCAGAGGCTTCTCAGTGGAAATGCCTAAGGGGAAAAACGAAACTCTAGAAGATGACCAGAAGAGGTTAACGTTACAACAACACAGCGCAAACAATACATTTTTGAAGAAGAAATGAACAGGATACCTAAATTACAAGATGGTGATATTGCTATCGTTTCAATGATTTGGCATGTATCTTCACCTATTACAGATGACGTCATATTCCAAAGACGGCGTGGAAGTGGAGGGCCTGCTTCTGTTTACGGGGGAACACCTAAGGAATATTTCGCCGTAAAACTTTCATTAACATCGGCACCCTGTGCGACGAAAAGTTCGATGATGTGCGCCATGGGCAAAGTGTCTCTTTTTTGGCCACCCCTGTATATGCTGCTTCAATGGGTTTGGTTCTCGAAGAATACTTGTTGAAGAAATCAAAAGAGATATCTTTGTAATTCGTAACTATTTGCTTAAGACACTTTTGTAGCGACCCTGCTGTTTTCTAGAACTTCCTTTTTTACTGGTCATCATCTCATCTTCCACCACAGAATGTCATTTTCAGGTCGCCGATGAGCTGACGCTGACCAAAGGCTCTAAAGTGAAGGCAGTGTATCGTGAAGATGACTGGCTCTACGTGCATTCGTCCGATGGTCAACACGGTTTCGTCCCTCAGACATACTGTACTCTAACAGTGGATCGCAAGCAAAGTGCGTTACAGAAGCTATCTATAAGCTTGGTCTCTGGTTATAGTGGACGCTTTTTTCCCATGTCAAGGCGAGGAAGTCCAGATCATCTACAGTAGTACAGCGTCAAGCTCTCGGTGGAACCATCTTTCGACGGTATCTTTTTTCTGCCGGATCAAACTAGTTCGAGTTTTAGTATTTTTCGAAGACAAGTCTCTTCCACTGAACCAGCATATTCTCTTTGGAAGGGAGGAAAAGTGAAGGATGATAAAAATTAATTCACTGAAAATTCTCGAGTGTGACGAAATCTCAAACAAGTCCTCCCCACAATTTTCAAAACCCTCTTCGTCGGTCTGTCACAGTGTCTGTCACGAAATTCCCTAGCTCCTTGGGATCCGCCTGGAGGAGACCGGGTCAAGTGTGGGATGGGTGGGCCAGGTCTCGAGAAGTACAAAACACACATCAGCTAAGCGGAGCCCCGCCCACAGTGGGCGTGGCGTGCGTCGAAATGAGTGGTACTGAGGACCAAGATTTCAAATTCAGTCACAAAACAGCCTCGAGAGGGGACAAAAGTGGGTATAGGTGTGCATTGGTAAGCCACATCGAATTAGGGAGACCCACCCCCGGTGGGCGGGGCGTTCTAAAAAAGCAGTGCTTTATGAAAAATTTCATAACTCGGTTGGGAGAAAGCCTACAGAGCAGAAAACAATTTGGTGTAAGGGAGCAATGTCCAAGGTGTTCCCTGCATACATGACGTGGGCGGAGGCCCGCCCACAATGGGCGGGGCGCGCTCTGAAGTGTACAGCATTTTCTATAAGTCCTCATAATCCTCAAAGGCCCATAGACTGAGGGAACATTTCGAGTTAGGCTATTTTAGAGATATCTTGTTTTTGTTTTTGTTTTCTTTTTGATCTCGATCATTCTATCAGAA